CCCCCCCATCACTTTTCTCCATCCTAGCCTGCTGCCAAATAAATAACATGCCCATAATTACTTTTTCATCATTGGTCAGTTGTGCCACATCCATACCAAAGTCCAGTATTTCTTATGCCATCACCTCAGTCGTTGTGGCCACGCGTTACTGTTCACAGGGTTATCTAGAATCTGGTTTTCCCAAGGTCTGTTTCCCAAAAGATCCCCAATACTCTGTTATCTGAAGCCTGTCTGGATCTCGCTAATCTCCTCCATAACTGCTTGTAAATCTCAGTCACCCCTCAGTGCTGTGACTTTTGCCAGCTTCTTACATGATCTCTGATGTCTAATGGCTTTCTACATCCTGTTCAGATAGTTTAACCTCCAGCCAGGGGCTAGTCAGCAGCCTAGTTACTTGTTTGCAACTAACTCGTGCATCAGTTTCTTAGGACAAGGAAGATAAGGGGGTTTATGCTGTCTGCCTCTGGAGAGGTTCAGATTGACATCTTCCATAAAGTGCACTTCACTGGGATAGTCCAGTCCATGGTGGAGAGGCTTGCAATCCCATCAGTGAGGCTGAGGCTAACCTACTGCATGAACCTTGTGCAAGCAGCCAGGAGAGGTTTGCTACAGTGTGGGACTTGGATGCGTTGGTGTAGTAGGAAAGAGAAGGAGGCCTGGGTTCTGATATAGTTCTTCAAGAACTACTGTTTTTGCTTAGTATAAGATGTAAGCAGACAACAGGCAGTCTCTGGAGCAGCAGGAGCTAACCATGTTAGCCCAGTGATGAAGATCTGATCTGATGAATAGGGAAAAATTAATACTGTCTTGAAGGAGACAAATTGGTTTGGCTCTGTCCTTTGAGATCACCAGGGTCCTTCTCAAAATGCAACCTACTTGGTATCTCAGCAACCCAAAGGCATGGGAACACATACCTTTTGCTCTCTGTAGGGGTATTTGTTTTATTTTACAAAAGCCTAAAAGGTTGCATTGTTAATGTAAACAAATGAGTGTGAAGTTCTTTTAATACTTTCATGCTCTCTTACTGTTTTAAGAGCAACTCTTTGCAGTGTTTCTATGTGGCTTATTAAGCTGTGGACAAGTCGGTAAGAGCAGCTGCTGTGGAGTTAGGATAAGGTGAAGTGTGCTGTGTTTATGTGGTGCAAGCCCTTACCTGCACCTCCTGCTTCCTCAGAGCACTTGCACACACGTGCCACCTGTATAGGCCAGTGAACCCCTTCCGTGTGGCCTGTTGGCAGTTCATCCCAGGGCATGCGTATGGGAGACCTCAGACCAGCCTGAGGCCAGGGTGCAACTTCTGGAGGTTACACTGAACAGAGCAGCCCCAGAATCCTAACTTTTATTCACTCTGGCCTTTAGGCAGGACAGGGCTCTCTAACTCTGAAGTCTTCATTGCCTGAAAAGATACCTATCGTAAGAAATGTGTCCTGCCAACTGTCACCATTGTCCCCCATCACCATCCTGCTG